CAAACAAGATTGGTGTCATATTTGATTATTTTGGATAACTATGACTAGCATTTTTCATTTTTTCTTTCTCTTTTAAATTTTCCATTCATTTTACATACCAACCATAGTTCCCTCCCCTTCCTCCTGCTCCCCAACCACACCTTCCCTCCACCCCCATCTACTCCTCAGAAAGAGCAAAGCCTCCCTTGGAGAGTGAACAAATCCTGGCATCTCAAGTTGAGGCAAGACCAAGCCCCTCCCTATGTGACAAGGCTGAGCAAGGCATATCACCATAGGGAATGGGCTCCAAAAAGCCAACTCAAGTACCAGGGATATATCCTAGTCCTACTACAAGGGGCTGCACAACGAGGCCAAGCCACACAACTGTCACTCACATGCAGAGGGCCTAGTTCAGTTCCAAATGGACTCCGCAGCAGCTGATCCAGATTCCAGGAGCTCCCAGGAGCTCAGGTCAGCTGTCCCTGTGGGTTTCCCTGTCATGATCCTGACCTGCCTTGCTCATACAACCATCTTCCTTCTCTTCAACTGGACTTCAGGAGATCAGTACATTGTTTGGCTGTGGATCTCTGCATCTGCTTCCATTAGTTACTGGATGAAGGTTCTATGATGACAATTGGGGTAGTCACAAATCTGATTACAGGAGAAGGCCAGTTCAGGTACCCTCTCCACTGAATCTAGGAATCTTAGCTGGGGTCATCCTTGTAGATTCCTGATAATTTCTCTAGCACCAGGTTTCTCCAATAGTTACCCATGGGCATTTGTACCCATGATTTCTTGTTAGAAAATAAACTGCTGTATCTGTATAGATGGCAGTAGGCACAGCCAAACCATGTGCATCTCATTTCCTAGAAAACTAGGGCACTTGCTACTGTCACAGGATAATATTTTCAATCATGTTATTTAGTAACTTAGGGAGTAAATTTAGGCTTCTGTTCATTTGAAGCAAGAGGTGACTCTGTTGCTTTAATATATATAATTAAACAGAGTTGAAATTGACTTTAAATGAAAATTGAAAACAAATTAAGCAATCACTCAATGTAATGCCTATGGTTATAGCCCTTGTGTATATTTAGATACACTGAGAAAAATAAGACAAAATTCCTACATTTCTGAGCATTTTATTTTATTCCAAGTGGAAAACACAGTGCGGTTCCAATGCTTAGAATTAATGTAAATTATTCCATGTAATGATCATTTGCTTTGCCATTCATACATGCACTACACTAATGCCTATTGATCAAATGTAATGATATCTGTTAATGTTGGAGTCAGACAATCACAAATTCAGCTCATGGAATTCACTTATTAGTTCTATTCATTAATCTTCTCTAGTGACCATGACTAGGCTCCTTTAATTCGACATTGGACAGCATTTGTGTTAGTAATAGCAAAATTTTTAAATGAGCCTACTTCTTAGAATCTGATACTTGTGAAGTTATTGCCTATCATTTTCTGTCTTATTACAATTTTTATTTCCTTAATTTTATGGCTTTGGGATGGCAGCCAATAACTTACTGCCTCAAAAAGATATTGTTTCAAATGAACTTATTATGGCTTATATTTAGTTAGATTTATTAGTGCTGACTTGGGTTTTGTGCTTCGGCAAATGAATTCACATGAAAATCCTCAGAATATCTTGGAGCTCTGGTTCAAGTTGAAACCTAACTGTTTGTTAAGGATGTTTTACTGCTTGAGCCGCACATGTCTGTTTGTCAATTAGGTCTTGTAGTTGGACTTTTCTTTGGGGCACCAGTTCACAAATAACGACCTGCAGACTTATTATTAATTATGAAAGCTTGGCCTTAGCTTAGGCTTGTCCCACTAGCTCTTAAAACTTAAGTGAACCCATTTATAATAAACAACATTCTTCCATGTGGCTTTACCTTTCTTCCATCCCTCACCTCCTGTTTTCTCGATATGTCTCACTGGTGAATCTTACCTTTCTTCTTTTTTTTCCATTTTTTTTAAATTTAAATTAGAAACAAGATTGTTTTACATGTCAATCCCAGTTCCCTTACCCTCCCCTCCTCCCCTGCCCCCCTACTAACACCCTACCTATCCCATAACCTTTCTTCTCCATAGGGAGGGTGAGGCATTCTATGGGAGGTCTTGAGAGTCTGTCAGATCCTTTGGGATAGGGCCTAGGCTCTCCCCCATGTGTCTAGGCTAAGGGAGTATCTCACTCTGTGTGGAATGGGCTCCCAAAGTCCATTCCTATGCTAGGGATAAGTACTGATCTACTACAACAGGCCCCATAGATTTCCAAGGCCTCCCCACTGACACCCACATTCATAGGGTCTGGATCAGTCCCATGCTGGTTTCCTAGCTATCAGTCTGGGGACCATGGGCTCCCCCTTGTTCAGGTCAGCTGTTTCTGTGGGTTTCACCAGCCTGGTCTTGACCACTTTTCTCATCACCTCTCCTTCTCTGCAACTGGATCTCACTCACATATGGATTTTAGACATAGAGCAAAAAATTACCAGCCTACAATCCATACCACCAGAGAAGCTAGGAAACAAGGAGGACTCTAAGAGAGACATACATGATCCCCCAGAGAAGGGGAAAGGGACAAGATCTCCTGAGAAAATTGGGATATGGGGAGAGGGGAGAGGGAGCTAGGAGAATGAGAAGGGGAGAAGATGAGAGGTGAGGAGGACATGAGGGAGCAGTAAGGTTGAGTCAGGGGAAGAACAGAGCAAGATAAGAGATACCATAATATAGGGAGTCATTATAGGTTTAAAGAGAAATCAGGCACTAGGGAAATGTCTGGAGATCTACAAGGATGACACCAACTAACAATCTAAACAACAGAGAGGCTACCTTACCTTTCTTCTTTCCAGAGTTCTCTCTTTGCCCTAAGTCCCCCCTATACCTCCTACCTAGATATTGGGTGTTTAGTTTTTTATTACACCAATCACAGAAATACATCTTTACATAGTGTGTGAATATCTCACAACAAGGTCTTGTGATTAAAGTAGCTCAGATAAGAACGTTGGTGGGAGCCAGCTTCCTGCTCTATGCTCTATTCCATACTAACAGCATCAAAATTTCAGTCACTGATAAAGGTTTATTTCCTTCTTCACTTATCTTCCAAAAATAGATTTTAAAATGCTTTGAAGTTTCTAGTATCTTTCTAATTTATCTTTGGTTCAATTATATTAAAATTTCATTTAGGTCAATATGAAAAATTCAATCAGACAAAATCAGCCATATCCCTTTGATGGGATTTATTTGTAAAATAATTAACTGACTGTTTATCTTTTTAAGCCTGTTTCCAACGAAACTATGTAGTTGGTGTGTCTTGTACTCAGGCTCTAGTTACAGTAAACAGAAGTACAAGTCCTTCTGATGTACCATGAGTGATGTACCAGGGGTGAATATAGTATCTCACACCATGACACAGTCTAAGGCAAATGCCTGGTATAGGCACTACTCTATACAAGAGCTCAGAGAGACCCCTCTGTTCTCATCTCTCTGTCTGTTGGCTTCTTTTTTCTAGCACATTCATTTCTGCAGCCACAAGCATTGTCCAACAAGGACAATAGTTTTTACTTCCTAAAATCTTAGGTAATGAACTGAAACTAAATTATCTGATACAGACCCAGGGATTTCATGGCTTGGAGTTTGAAATATGACACTAGTTGACAAGGGTTGTCCCTAAGGAGGCCTGATGGGATCTTCTTGTAAAGGATGTTCATTCTCAGGCTCTGTTCCAGACTCTATGAATGAGAAATATCTGGGACTATATCTCAACAAGACTCATAGAATTCCCTCCAAGTGATCCCCTACACATGTTCAAGCTACAGAATAACTATGGTGTGCTATCTGGCCAGGCCTAAATCATGTGTGCACCTCTCAGCTTCTGTGTACAAATTACAGTCCCACAGGGCAGAAAAAGGATGTGAGGAGCCCATAGCAAGAAAGAAAGGTAGATGGAGTGCTGGCCGTGAGGGCAAACATCAGTGCCGGTAACATCCAGTTCAGTAACTAAGTTCTCCTTAGTGTGCAATGGCATTGTTTCCAAGAACACCACGGACTGTGGTGACTTCCCCAGAATGCCAATATTCCAACACAGCCAATATACTTCCCACTCTCTGTTGTGCCACAGAGATTCAGTTTCCATTTTGTCTTTGGAGAGATGCCTGGCAAACCTTTAAATGTTTCCAGACCACATAGTCCTTACATTTCCTTACCCATTACTTCTTGCATGCTGTGATGTGGTCTATGAAGCCTAAAATAATGAACACTATTGCTGTCCTTTGGTAAGAAACCAGGTGGATCTGTCTGTTCCAGCAGCTTTCGATGACCGGGACCATTATCTGAGGGACTTTGACAGGCTCTGTAAAATCCTGCAGGGAATTAGTAAGCACTGCAGCATTATCTAAAATTATATTAAGCCTCTCTGTCTCTCTGTCTCTGTCTCTGTCTCTGTCTCTGTCTCTCTCTCTCTCTCTCTCTGTGTGTGTGTGTGTGTGTGTGTGTGTGTGTATGTGTGTGTGTGTGTGTGTGTGTGTGTGTATGTGTGTTTGTGTAAACACCTGTTTTGAGAAATAAGTGTTTTTTGGAATTACTGTTGGTTTTGTATGCCTCTCCCCCAACTTGAGATTTCTGTTGTCATCCTCCTGGGGGAGTGTAGCACAAGTTCTAATTGGTCCTAATGATAAAAACCCAGAGTCAAATATTAAGGGGTGAAAGCAGGAAGATCAGAGAAGCAGAGAAGCCAGCCACGAGAGCTCCTACTTCTACAAAATCCTCAGACTGAAAAGAGATTGAGTTTCTGTCTCCTCCCAACTTACCATTTCCTCTCTCTGTCCAGCCATAACACTCCAGGAGAGGCAGTACATCACATGTCCATGTATCTCTATTTAGCTCCTCAGGAGAGTTCCCTGTGCTACTGTTAGCTGCAATAATGTTAGGATTGTTTGTCATTGATGCCTTTTTATGATTCATATCTTTTGAATGACCTTCCTGCTTTCTCCCATTTCTTATGTTATATACAGATAGAGGACATGCAATGGGGCAAAGGAGTCCGGGAGATACCATCCTCTGTGTGCACGTTGCCCTGCAAGCCTGGGCAGAGGAAGAAAACACAGAAGGGAACTCCTTGCTGCTGGACCTGTGAGCCCTGTGATGGATACCAGTATCAGTTTGACGAGATGACATGTCAACACTGTCCATATGACCAGAGGCCCAATGAGAACCGAACTGGCTGTCAGAACATCCCCATCATCAAACTGGAGTGGCACTCTCCCTGGGCTGTCATTCCTGTCTTCCTGGCAATGTTGGGGATCATTGCCACCATCTTTGTCATGGCCACTTTTATCCGCTACAATGACACACCTATTGTCAGGGCTTCTGGGCGAGAACTCAGCTACGTTTTATTGACTGGCATCTTTCTCTGCTACATCATAACCTTCTTAATGATAGCCAAACCAGATGTGGCAGTATGTTCTTTCCGGCGTGTCTTCTTGGGCTTGGGCATGTGCATTAGTTATGCAGCCCTTTTAACAAAAACCAACCGGATTTATCGCATATTTGAGCAGGGCAAGAAATCAGTGACAGCTCCCAGACTCATAAGCCCAACATCACAACTGGCAATCACTTCCAGCTTAATATCAGTGCAGCTTCTAGGTGTCTTCATTTGGTTTGGGGTTGACCCACCCAACATCATCATAGACTACGATGAGCATAAGACAATGAACCCAGAGCAAGCCAGGGGAGTCCTCAAATGTGATATCACAGACCTACAAATCATTTGTTCTTTGGGATATAGCATTCTTCTCATGGTCACATGTACTGTGTATGCCATCAAGACTCGGGGTGTACCAGAGAATTTTAATGAAGCCAAGCCCATTGGATTCACTATGTACACAACGTGTATCGTATGGCTTGCCTTCATCCCGATATTTTTTGGCACTGCACAGTCGGCAGAAAAGGTAAGTGAAAATGGAATCTCACTATGCATTTCAGAAATGTCTGGTTCTGTGCATATTGAAACAAAATTGATTGTGTCCTCCAAAGAGACTTATGTGTACAGAATAGAAGGTTCAAAAATATAAAAATGTTGGGCTAATCACTTAATGGTACAGGAGTTTAAATTTGTAAGTAGGATATTCCCCTTTGGAACCACTAAAAACCAACGATGTGTGACCTTTTCAAGTAAATATGTTTACATAAAATTAGTATAATTAGGCAATATCCAGGACAAGATGATCTAATCTAACTAAATAAAGCCTTCCTTCCCACTCACTTACAACTTCTGTTCTTACATGAATGTTTCTTTAGGATAGAAGTTGGCCACAGTACCTATCTCCATTTGGGCCATTAATACATGGTGTTCATTTATCATTATTAGCATCACTATAGAAGAGCAATTCACAACCTGTAGGTTGGGACCCCTTTGAGGTTCAAAAACCCTTTCATAATGATTGCCTAAGACCATCAGAAAACACAGATATTTACATTACAATTCATAACAGTTGAAAAATTACAGTTATGAAGTAGAAACAAAAATAATTTTACATGTTGGGGTCACCACAACATGAGGAACCATATTAAAGGGTTGCAGCATTTGGAATGAAGGTTGAGAACCACTAGTATAGATTTCTGTCTTTTTAGTAGCTCATGTATGCTGTTGCTGAAGATATAAAGCACAAGCTGTATGGTGCATTGGAGTTGCCCAGTTGCATGCCCATCAAATATAACCAGATAGGCTGATAAAGAAGGATATCAGTTATTCTGTATCATTTTACTGATAGTTTAGTATACCTTAATCACAGCAAGCAATTATAATGAGATCAAGAGTTTTCAAAGTGAAACAGGAAAAAAAGGAGAAGAGAAAGAGATCAAACTATCAGTGTTTGTGGTTGGTGCACGATACAATTAGTATACATGTCCTTGCATGTACTAATAAATTAATGAATCTATAAATTACAAATTAGGTGACCCTCATATGCTGTCTTTAATGTGGTTTGTGTATATTTAGCTGAATGTGTGACTTGCATACCAACTCTGTAACCCTGAAGTATTGATCCTAAATATGATATGTACACATTTGGTATTTGAACTCATCCATCTGGCTGTAGTTTTATACATATGCAAATTACATAAGCCTAAAATATCAGTATGACAATTCTTCAATTGGTGTGAGCAGCTCTGATGCAAGAGTATGGCTGAAGCTTGAAGAGACTGAGTCTAATAAGGCTTATATAGAAGAGTGTCTTATTAGAAATTAAATGCATTGAGTGCATAGAACATCACAGGTCACTGCATTGCCATTTAAATTGAACAAATATGCTAATGCTTCTTATTGTTTTTTAATTGTGTGTGTCTGTGTGTGTGTGTGTGTACACATACATGTGTCTGTGCCTAACATGCATGTGAAAGTCAGAGGATAACTTGCAGGGACTGGTTCTCTCCTCCTACCATGTGGATATCAGGGGAGGACCCAAGTCATCAGTATTTGCAGCAAGCCCCTTTACTTGATGATTTATCTTATTTTTAAGATTATTTATTTATTATGTATATAACATTCTGCTTCCATGTATATCTGCACACCAGAAAAGGGCACCAGATCTCATAATGGATGGTTGTGAGCCACCATGTGGTTGTTGGGAATTGAACTCAGGACCTCTGGAAGGGCAGTCAGTGCTCTTAACCTCTGAGCCATCTCTCCAGCCCCTTAATGATCTATCTTTCTGGTGCTTGAACAAAGCTGTTAAGTGCTTAAAGCCTTAGATAGGGAAAACAGGATTAAGTTGGAATATGTAAATCTTATACAATTGTTACTGCCAGAAATTGGTGTAGTAATTCATTAATACCTCTGTTTCCTGTGTGTTCTTTATTCAAGATTCATGGCATTTAGCTCATTTTCCTACTGAAATGATGTTAGCACCCTAAACTGTGTGATTCTAGAACTATAAGCTTGCCTTTTAAAAATGGTTATCTATGAAACCAAGCAGAATTCTCAAACAAAGGGCACTGAATAGCTCTAGATTATGGTTTTCATTATAAAATATCTTAGAGGAAATTCTTCTAAAATATATAGTCATTGAACATTGATTGGCTGCTTCCAACAGTTTTTTTTCAGATTCATAAGGTATGTTTATTGTCTGTGAAAGCAACTTGAATTTCATTTTATTGCAACTCCCTATCCCTGGGCCAAGGGAATAGTAAAATATGAGTTAGGGTTCTGAAATACAATAGAAATAAAAAAAATTGTAAATGTGTGCTAGTAGGTTGGTAACTAGTATAATTTTCTGGAGAGGACAATGCCTGTTATTAAACCACACAAAGATAATTCTTTTGCTATTGAAACAATGTCATATACAGAAGGTTAAAGGGATTAATTATATGCTATGTACTTATTCTTGATGATATAAAAGTGTCCCAGTAATATCCGAAGTATATCTCGTTGCATCTTATGTATCTCTTCTCGGTGATACAAAATGTATTAATGACTGCATAGTATTAGAACTATGGATTTTTGGAATGTTGCTTTAAGAGTGTTATTTCTGTGTTATCATTCATTTGGGGCATATCTACTTGTGATTGTGGGGCTTTTTCAGGTAAGATCACATGTGTGATCCTTTACAAACCTGGAACTGATATGAGGTTTTGGGAAATCCAATCATTGACTCTAGATTCTGTTGATGACATTTTGCTGGTAGAACCAGACCAGTGGATGAGATTAAGTTGTCCATACAATATGATTTCTAGTCCCTCAGTTTTACAAAACTTACTTCTCTTTGTATACTCTTCATGGCTTATAATGTTTTACATGGTTCATTGGCATAAATAAAAGTGCTGAAGTAGGAAAAATGGATTTCTAGACGAAAATGTACACACCCTAATGACAGGCATATGGCTAGTGAAACATGAGTGATCAATTAAGAAAATCACTCTGTGTATATGCAACCATAGCATATAAATTATGCAAAGAAGCAAGTTGCCAAATGAAACAAAGACATTACAGCAAAATGCAAGTTGTTTTATTTTTTTGCTAAGTTGGCAACCTTACAAAGTCACAGACATTCCATTTTGTTCTGATTTAATAGTTTAAGTACCCCAAGAAGAATTCTATTGTCTCAGAAAAAATCAACAATAAATTCTGTAATAACTATTTACTGTGTTGCAGAATTGAAATCCATTTCGATTCTTCTGTGAAATTTCTCACTGGTTGATTTTATTAGTAGAACACAAAGACCAGACAAGGTTTTTATCTTCAATGTAAAATGTCATCCCAGTGAAATTTATTTTTGTTTTAGGAACAATGCAAATGCTCACTGTTACCTAGATTGATCATTGCTACCCTATGACTTGCTAGAATTTGAGTCCTTAAATATGATCAGAGATGATATGGTAAACTTTAGCCATAGTGGAATAGATTCTAGGATTTGGGAATTATCTATAGGCATGACCATGGAGAGGTGGGGCAGGAAGAGGTGTGGGAGGGAGAACTGTGGTTGGAATGCAAGATGAATTTTTTTAAAAAGTTAATAAAGAGCCCACATAATAGTATTAAAAGTGAAATAATACCATGGTAGAGACTAGCTAGTCTTTTGTATTGTGGTGTTATTATGTAATTATATCTTGGCACTGTCTGCTCAAAGACTAGATTGTTTTCTATGAAAAACAATGATTTCTTTAGTCAGTGGTTGCATTGTTAGAAGGAGTGGTCTGCACAAAAGTCTATGTTGCCAAAATTTCAGGAACAATGTAACTGATCCATTTTTCTCAAGCATTGTAAGCACTTGTTATCTGAAGAATGTTCTAGATAAGTTTTTACTATGTAACCAATCAATGAACTGGTGCACATAGGAATCAGTCTCACAAGATCATGTCCCCTGCTAACATTATAGTCACAGTTTGAGAAAGCAAACTGTGGTGTTTCGGCACAGTGGGGGAAATATGTGTCAACGCTGCAAGCATCAGGCTGAATCCCTGGAATTAAGTGGTGCTTGTCTGTATATCATTTCTTTCATGTGGGCAGTGACATAAGCTTTGTCAAGCTGGACTGTACATAAGGAAGCAGAACTTGGCAGATGGGTAGGGGCCCAGAGGTCTCAGAGACAGAGGACTGTGTGTACTGTGGGGTTGTTTGTCCAGGAATATAGTGAGAAGAGGAAGAATGGTTGAAGCAATTGATGACAGAAAGGCATTCATTGCTGCAAGTGGAGCTGGTTTCAAAGAAGGAAAGGCATGTGTCAACATCTGTTTCTGTACATACCAGAACAGACTCAGGCTGTATCTCAAATCTTCAATGAAAGAATCCTTTTTCTCTAATAGAGTACCATTCTACCTCTTGATAGATTATGGCCATTGATAGCAAGCATGTGAACCAGTGCTTGGACCAGCCATAATAGTAGGATAGGGAGATAGGAACATTTCCTCAGAAATAGGCATCTTGTCTTCCTCGTATGACAGCTAGCTCCGAAAATGTGATCACAAAGTGAAGCCTTCACCTACTGGGATCAGAAGGTATGACATGATATCCCACCCCCCAAATCTCACAGTTTATCTGAAAAAGTATCCACAGCTGTTGTCACCACACCAAACTCATTGAATAGAACTGGATGTTTTGTTTTGTTCGTTTTTTTCCCCAGTTCTTTTCCTTTTTTTGTGAATGATTTTCCTAGTTTGTTATCAGTTGCTGTGACAAACACCATGGTCAAAAACAATTGGGAGCTGGAAAGGCTTTGATTTGGTTTACACCTCTGTTGTGGTTCATCATCGAGGCAAGTCAACCTTGAACCAGAAACTGAGGCAGAAACCCTGGAGGAAAGCTGTTTACTGGTTTGCTTCTCATGATTCTCAGGTTGCTTTCTTATCTAACACATGGCCACCTTCCCAGAAGTGGCAAACCCCCACAGTAGACTGGGCCCACCCATATCAATAATTCACCAAGAAAAGGACCCACAGACTTGCCTACAGACCA